TTTGAACACAACTGTACCTTGAAAACCCTATTAGGTTCACTATACGTTGGTTCTGACTTGATGTCACAAAACACATATTTCCTTCTAGCAGCAATGAAAATGGTTGCCTTTTGTCTTAAATTGTATCTCCATATCTTGCTGTTATGCAACCAATTAACTTTTTGCATCTCTTTGTAAGTGTACCATCTACAACATTCTTCCTCTTATTAGTAGCTATTAATAGTTATTAGTATTAGCATTAGCATTGTCTCTTAGGAATTAAAACTGGATTTGGTCACTAGAACTACTGCCATTATCAGAGGCACTACATTTACCCTCACTTCCACCAAATGGGTCAGAGTGCTTGCTGCTAAAGCATCTTTTCATGGGCCAAAAGTTTGGAAGATGGGTGATGTGACTGAATAAGTCATTGAAACTCTCTCATTATTAAGAGTATAACATAATAAAAATGTTATCACTTTTTATGGCTTTCTCTTGTTAACCCATCTAGAAGCCACATCTGTCTGGCCTCTGGCTAAACCAAATTCCATAATTGTGCATTTATTATTTAAATTTTCCTGTTCAACCATCTCTAGATTTCTTGGGTCAACCATGGGTCAGTTCTCGGGATTTCTATCTGTACTGTCTTTCCTTCTGTTATCATCAAGACCTTGCTCCAACTCAAACACTCAGAACATTGTGCTTTTGGTTAAAGGCTACTAAAGAGTTGTTCTCTTGTGTATATGTTGTGCACGCTGGAATTTGGTTTGGTTTACAATAGTTGCAATATTTGCAAACATGAGAATAAATACCACAAGAACACAGACCATTTGGTCCAAAAACGTACATATATTGGGAAACACATGCTGGTTCATATAACCCATTTGAAACAGCACGATAGGTTTTGGTTTCACGGTCAGAATGTCTCAATCAATATCTAAAAGGAACTGAGTGGCAAATTCAACTCAAAATCCATTTTATTTTCTTCTGAAGTGTAAATGTTTTACAGATTCATTTGGTGATCCCACACCTGCAAAGGTGCACACAAGGTACAATCACATTGGCAAAAAAAATGCAGGAAATGCTATACATTTTGGATGGACTAATTTGCATTTTTTCCATATCACATAAGGAAATTCAAATTAGCCTGGAATTTTCCTCCCCAAATCCATTATTTTCCCTCTCCCTGTGGGGCTTCTACTTTGATAGGATCCATTTGCATCTGCTTAGACAATGTGATTAGTTTAATGTAGAAAAATGTGGCAGTTGGGGGAGGGGCAAACAATGGATAGATCTTATCTAAGAAAATGAGCAAGATGGAGGGAGGGAGAAGGACAAAGATCCAGCCATTTCTTGTTTTTTTAACAGAACATGAACAAGAAAAGGAAAAGAGGAGGAAACTGGCACTCTGCTCTTGATAACAGCTTATTAGAACTTATTAAGAAACTCTTCTCAAGCTGTGCCACGCGCTGGACTACGAAAGAGCTGCAAACAAGCTGCAGAAAGAGCTGCAAACAAGCTGCAGACAAGGCTTTTCTTCTTTCTCTTTGTGGGACCAGTTAATTCAAGCTGACCAGGGTGAACCCTGGTTTAACTTCACAGCGAGTGAATTTGAATTTACCTCACTGTAGAGTCCTACATTTTTTTTCCTGTTTTACTCATACACAATTTTGGAGTTTATTTTATTTTTATTTGTTTAAACTTATCGTCGTCTAGTCGTTTAGTTGTGTCCGACTCTTCGTTTAAGCTCATACCCTGCCCATTTAGTGGACAAGTCACGACTCTGGGCAGCTTCCAGAAAATAACAAAAATATTCAACATTTTAAAAAAATGAATATATAAAAACAAACAAAAAAAAACCTTTTGGTGAACCATGGGCCAGCATAACTACAAAATTAATATTACGGAAGGGAAGGGTATGGTTTGTAAAGGCCTGGGTAAAAAAGCCACATTTCAACATGCTTTTGGAAGCTCAGGGGGGTGGGAGCCAATTATACCTCAACAGGTAGGGAGTTCTAGAGTGGGGCAGCCACTACCAAGAAGGCCCAACTTCTCGTTGATGACTTCTGGGCCTCTCTCAGAGTGGCCACCTGCAGCATCAAGGACTGGGAGGTCCGAGTTGGGCATGAGGATGACCTGAGGGAGAGGCGCTCTGATGGGTACTGAGGTCCTAAACCATAAAGGGCTTTATACATTAACATCAGTACCTTGAATTTGGCCCAGAAGCATACTGTCAGCCAGTGCAGGCACGCCAGGACAGGTGAAATACGATCAAATTTAGATGTATCAGTGACCAACCTGGCTGCCACATTTGCGCTGCTGCAGCTTTCAAACTGCCTTCAAAGGCAGGTCCATGTAGAGAGGATTGGAGTAGTTGATCCTGGAGATTACCAACACAAAAACCAGTGTTTTTAGGGACTTCTTGTCAAAAAGGGAGTGGGTGGGGAAATCTGCCTCAGTGCAATCTACCTCAGATGGAAGAAGGCAGGTTTGGCCACAGCCAAGATCTGTTTCTCCATCGAGAGGGCCGGGTCCAAAAACTCATTCAAGACAAAACTCTATGCAACTGCAATAAAAGACCTTTATTGGGATGGGGTGGAGTAAAATCAGCCAGGCTTATGGTGTATCCCTAAAGTATTCACAATACCTGATGTAGTTCTAAGGCTGTCTGGTGGTATAAGATACTTAGATGAAAGATCGCCTGAGAACAGATGTCAGCCACTTTGGGGTTTTTTAAATAATCAATGTGCATAGTAATATGTTATTTCTTGTAAATATTAGGTTACCTGTCTGTTTCTAGAAATATTGATTTAAACATTTTGGTACTATAAAATATGGATTTATTTCTTAGGTTAGAGTACAAAATAATTCCTTTCTGCCCACTATATTGACATGCAATAACAAAATACAGGAGCCTTATTTTTGTTATTATGGAGGGAGGAGAACAAATCTCTAGTTAAAGGTGATTGCAACTGTTTCAAAGGTCCTGCCCAACCTGTGGTTTCAGTCTTTTCATGGCCCCTCTAACTTCTACTCCACATTTCAGCAGACGCATGCTAAAGCTGGCTGTGGAGAATTTAGCTCTTGGAACAGCAGGCTAAAGGATGATCGTATTGAGATAATGTATCCTGCCTGGACCTCCTGCATAGATCATTGGGGACTTGGGGGAACTAAATGCGGAAAACCACTTCAACACCATTGGCCTGGAATTCCCATCTCTGCTACTAATTTAAACCATGCAGAACAGCAGAAGGAGGGCCGGCTCAAGAATAAGAGTGTCATGGGTGAGGAGTGCCTTTAGCAAAGGAAGCACAATTAGGTTTATAGGCCCAGCATGGTGTGATGTTGGGGGTCTTGTTGCCACTCTGTAACTGGTGTCTGTGCACAGCTGAGGCCACGTGAGAATTACTGCATTCAAGAATGCCAGAATTATTGCCTCCAGCTGCTCCTTGTCAAGGAGCAGCTAGAGCAACCCAGGAGCAACCCACAATCATCAATGTGCTTCATTTTTGCACAACTCAGTCCAGCCCCAGCTGAGCACTCTTTGCCCCCTCCTGCCTCCTTTCAATTTGCAACCTTCCACTCAGTTGAATCTCCCAACTTACTCCAAGGTGCCCATCCTGTTGGCTGTCTGGCCCACCACCTATTTCACATATTCCTAAAGTTAGTCCTAACCAAAGGGATACTGTTGGAGGCAGTTCATTTGAGAATTTGGCTGATCTAATATTTTGTGTTGTTGTTGTTTAGTTGTTAAGTCATGTATGACACTTTGTGACCCCATGGACCAGAGCATGCCAGGCCCTCCTGTCTTTCACTGCCTCCTGGAGTTTGGTCAAATTCATGTTGGTAGCTTCGATGACACTGTCCAGCCATCTCGTCCTCTGTTGTCCCCTTCTCCTCTTGCCTTCTCACTTTCCCAACAACAGGGACTTTTCCAGGGAGTCTTCTCTTCTCATGAGATGGCCAAAGTATTGGAGCCTCAGCTTCAGGATCTGTCTTTCCAGTGAGCACTCAGGGTTGATTTCCTTCAGAAGTGATAGGTTTGTTCTCCTTGCAGTCCAGGGGACTCTCAAAGAGTCTCCTCCAGCACCACAATTCAAAAGCATCAACTCTTTGGCGTTCAGCCTTCTTTATGGTCCATCTCTCACTTCCATACATTGCTACTGGAAAAACCATAGCATTGACTATGTGGAAGAACATCTTTTTTTGGTGTCGGTTCTAGAAGGTATTGTATGTCTTCATAAAATTGGTTAATTTCAGCCTTTTCAGCATCGGTGGTTGGTGCATAAACGTGGATTACTGTGATATTGAAAGATCTGACTTGGATTCGTATTGAAATCATTCTATCATTTTTAAGATTGTATCCCAGTACAGCTTTTCCCACTCTTTTGTTGACTGTGAGAGCTACTCCATTTCTTCTACGGGATTCTTGCCCACAATAGTAGATATGATAATCATCTGAATTGAATTCACCCATTCCCGTTCATTTTAGTTCACTGATGCCCAGGATGTCACTGTTTCTTCTTGCCATCTCCTGTTTGACCACATCCAGCCTACCAAGGTTCATAGATCTTACATTCCAGGTTCCTATGCAGTATTTTTCTTTGCAACATCGGACTTTCCTTTCACTTCCAGGCACTTCCACAGCTGAGTGTCCTTTCAGCTTTGGCCCAACCACTTCATTAGCTCTGGATCTACTTGTCCTTGTCCTCCCCTCTTCCTCAGTAGCATGTTGGACACCTTCCGACCTGAGGGTCCCATCTTCCAGTGTCATATCTTTAAGCCTTTTGTTTCTGGTCATGGGTTTTCTTGACAAAGATACTGGAGTGGCTTGCCAGTTCCTGCTCCTGGTGGATCACGTTTAGTCTGAACTCTCCACTATGACCTGTCCGTCTTGGATGTTCCTGCAAGGCATAGCCCATAGCTTCTCTGAATTACTCAAGCCCTTCGCCATGAGAAGACAGCAATCCATGAAGGGGTTATATTTTGTAGGGTCTGTTATAAAGAAATGATAGCCATAAATTTTCTCCTCTATCCTCTTTATTTAGTTCCACTGAAGATACTCAATTTCTCAATGCTAAAGGAAGATCTCACTGAATACTTTTCCAAACCCTTTCAAAAATCTTCTCAGTATGCATAATGACTTCTTATTATAAGATTTAATATAAAATGTAACTAAGCTTGTAGAACAGTGTCCTGGAAAGCCTGCCTATGATTTGCATAGGTACACTGAGCAGCTTTTACTATGATCTCTAGTTCCCCTCATAGTCTCCTCTATTTCCACATCAAACCCTTCTAACTCATCTCTGCTGCTATGGCACACATGATTTGAGTTCATTGGGCCAAGAAGCAAGTTTCCATATGTCCTATAGTATGGAAAGTAGTCACTGGAAGAAGGTGATTGATTCAGGTTTGATATTTCACCCAAGAGAGAGCTCTTTGAATCACAAGACTCTGTAACAGAGTCAGTTAATGTGTGGTTTTCAAGAAAATCAAACCATTGGCTGGTATCCTCATATGTTTCATGGTTTTCCTGAACAACCTGGAAAAAAGGGGGATATATGGTCAGCAATTGTAAATGTGGTATTATACTAGCTAAGAACAGGTCCCTAATCCCCAGCCTCATTTGGGGGAATCCAGTAATGTATGAAAAGAGCAAGAGTATTGAATCATGTCTCTATACTCTGCAGCAGGCCAGTATTCTCTTCTTTTGTTTTTTGTTTTAAACATGGCTAGTACATGTATAAAAATAGTAATATTTTTATTATGCTGATTATTTGTGTTGTTGTAAAATCCATTACAGTCCATTGCAGTACTACAAACAATGTTGTGATGGTAGCCATCCCTTGTAAGTATTAAATACTGTTTTGAAAAAAAAAATCTAGATTATTCACATAATCCAATATTCATTCCCTGGGGATGGAGAAAGAGTTTTAAAAGGCCTCTCATTGTTTTCAGTACGTTATCAGCGGGCATCCTTTCCATATTGACTCTTCTCTTTTTTAGGGAGTGAGCAGGGACTTTCCTTCCATTGGCATTTTATTAAACACGGAATCATAGAATAATTGAGTTGGAAGGGGCTTATCAGGCCACTGACTCCAAACTCCTGCTCAATGCAGGAAGCCAAATCAAAGTAGATCTGATGGATGGTTGTCCAATTTCCCTTAAATGCCTCCAGTGTTGGAGCACTCAACACCTCCCAAGGTAATTAGTTCCATTGTCATACTGCTCTAAAAGTTAAGAAATTTCTCTCGCTATTCAGCCTAGGGTAAATCTGGCTTCCTATAGCCTGAGCCTATTATTACGTGTCCTGCACTCTGGGATGATCAAGAACAGATCCTGCCTCTGTGTTCAGTGTATTCAGTACTCTATATTCAGTGGTGCTTTAAAACATGCAGAACCCATACCTGCTGAGGAAACTGCACAAGACCTGTCCCTTCTGTCTTCTCTTTAAGCATGGAAATACAACCATCTGAAGAGGGTGAGGATGATGTGCCCAAATCACATCTCCATATGAGATGAACCTCACTCACATCAAGGGTATGCCTCAGGTAGAAAGCTTACCTGGATGCAGCATCCTCCTGATCGTCAATCATGTTTCCAGGCATAAAGAAGTAACTGAAGGGCAGGGTTAACACACTTCCCTCACCACATACAGTCTCCACCTGCTTTAAAGAGCAAATGTGGTTAAGATCTAGCCACTTTGCTTGTAACTTACCATATTTTCAAATGCATCTTCAGCGTCATGGTCAATTTCACTCTCCTCTTCTCCTCCTTTGTTTGTCTCTGCCTCTCCACTCTCTGCTGTACTGTGTGATTCACAGGGAAAATCTGAAGTGCTAAAGTGCTCTTCACGTGTTCTATAATACGGGAAATATCCAGTGGCAAAAATACCCATGACATTTGAGGGTTCATCTTCATATTGAGGGTTAAAGACACAACCATTGCTTTGAACTCCTCCTTTTTCTGCATTCTCTTGTTTCAGATCTACATTCATACAAACTGGTGTTTCCACAAGTTTTGCATATGTTCTATAATAAGGTACATATCCATCATAGGACATGAACTCACCCGTGATCCCTGAATCATTAGAAAGAGTCGGCTCAGTCTTGAAACCCTCAGAAGTGTTTTCAGTTGATATTGACAGGGACTGAGTGGTTTCTTGACATAAAAATGGTTGTGCTCTTTCGCTCCTTTCCTCAAACCTTTGATGGCCACTCTGGGGGGGAAAAGGTGACATGTCAGTGAGTAGAAACATTCCCAGTCATGATTCCAGATAGTAATGATCAGTCACAGCGTTCTCTGCTGATAATGCTGAATGTGCCTATAACAAGGAAGGGCATATGGGAGAAACTCTGGAACTGAAAATGCATAGATAAGAGAAATACAACCTATTTTTACATGAGGTGTCAGTATTTGTCAATCTGTAGAAATCAACAGAGAGCATATGCTTCTAATATTGGATTAGAATAGGCAATACCTCATTTGTCTGTAACTTTTTCTTCATTCTGTCCATTTTCTTCCATGGTAAAATTCCATTTTTATCTTGTTTCTTCATGAATTTACCATTGATTTTCTGTTTATAGTTCTTATCATATTGGATTATTTTAACTTGTGCATTGTTCTCCTTTTTCATCTTGTGCGGCTTCAGGAAGACTAGAAAAATATTAAGGAACATGAGTATTCCATCAAATCTGAAGCACAAGACCAGGAGATTCCACTGAGATGATTTACTGCCATACCACACTGGACACACAGTGATGATACAGACATGAACAACAGGGTCTGGTGATTTTATGTTATATATTTATATTTTGTGTAGATTTGTCTTGGTTTGTATAGTAAGTGATTGCAAATGATTGACATTTATATGGCAAGCTTGTGCCAGAAGTGACAGTTGTGACAGTTGAGAAATATGGAAAAATGTCTGTGAATGAAACTGTAAGCAGATTGATCTGTATGACTAATGTCTGGAAAGATTCTTGGTGTACATAAGGGTGTGTGAGAGAGACAGTTTATACTGTGAAAAAGGTAGTTGAGAGCTTTGTGTTAGGTAGGGTCAGTTCTGTTAGAGCTGAGGGTGGTTTCTCCTTTTTTAAGAAGAAGCTATGAATAATTTCGACTCGTCATGATAGTCTTCTGTTAAAGCAATTGCCTATTTACATGTGTGTGTGTGTGTGTGTGTGTGTGTGTGTGTGTGTGTGTGTGTGTGTGAGGAACAGTATGAGTGTTTAAATTTATGAAGAACAGTCAAGGCTTATGATTATAGAATGAAGAAATGGACAGTTGAAACATTCTTCTTGTATTTTGGTTTTATCTGTTTATCTGTTCCTTTGAGGTTGTTTTTTTTTTTAAAAAATACAGTAAACCTACTTTTGGTTTATGACCCCTGCTTAATATTTTATAGAAGTATAGGTTGCGTCATCTGTACCATCTCAGTGCTCTGATCTAAGATTTTTCATCCAAGCAAAACAACTGTTGGGCTTCATCAAAAACATTCTTACTTTTTAAAGTACTGTACAAACTTGAAACTACAAAACAAAATGTTGGTGGTGGTGGTTGTTTGAAGTTGGAATCAACTTATAGCAACCCTAAGCGGGCTTTCAAGGTGAGTGGGATATTTAAGGAGTTGTTTTACCAGTTCTACTCCCCACATGAATTTTCATGGTTCCAGTGCAGATTTGAATTCTAGTATCCAGAGTACTAGTCCATCACTCTATCCACTCTACACCACACTGGGTATCACAGAATAAAATACTGCCTGTTGATTAATTATTTTAAGTAGAGACCCAGTCCTACCTGGAATTCCTTGTTGCTGTTATAGCTACCCCCACCCATCCAAACAATGGCAATGTAGGACTTAAAAATGGCAGCACCCAAGTGGAACTGCCAAAGCCAAGGGAGCCAGGAGGGTAGCTGTGGACTTCCCTCCTGACTTGCAGCCTGCTGGACTGTGAAGGAGTGGTTCCCTTGGCCTGCTGTCCATTGGCCAGACAGTGGAGGTGATGGCATTCCAGTTGAACTATTTAAAATCTTAAAAGATGGTGCTGTTAAGGTGCTACACTCAATATGCCAGCGAGTTTGGAAAATTAAGAAGTGGCCAGAGGGTTGGAAAAGAATCAGTCTCCATCCCAGTCCCAAAGAAGGGCAGTGCCAAAGAATGCTCCAGCTACTGTACAATTGCATTCATTTCACATGCTAGAAAGATTATGCTCAAAAACCTACAGGGTAGGCTTCAGCTGTATGTGGACCAAGAACTCCCAGAAGTACAAGCTGGATTTCAAAGGGGCAGAGGAACTCGAGACCAAATCGCTAACTTGCGCTGGATTATGGAGAAAGCCAGAGAGTTCCAGAAAAACATGTACTTCTGCTTCATTGACTATGCAAAAGCCTTTGACTGTGTGGACCACAACAAACTAAGGCAAGTTCTTAAAGAAATAGGACTGCCTGACCACCTTATCTACCTCCTGAGAAATCTATTAAAAATGCCTACTTCTTGGGAGGAAAGTATCTTATAAAGCAGAGACATCACCTATGCTGACAAAGGTCCGCATAGTCATAGCTATGGTTTTTCCAATAGCAATGTACGGAAGTGAGAGCTGGACCATAAAGAAGGCTGGCCTCTGAAGAATTGATGCTTTTGAATTGTGATGCTGGACTGCAAAGAGAACAAACCTATCCATTTTGAAGGAAAATCAACCCTGAGTGCTCACTGGAAAGACAGATCCTGAAGCTGAGGCTCCAATACTTTGGCCATCTCATGAGAAGAGAAAACTCCCTGGAAAAGACCCTGATGTTGGGAAAGTATGATGGCAAGAAACATCCATGCAGATATCCAAAGCAGTTTCACTTGTGCAAAAACAGAAGTATGATCACCCTTACCAAGACCCATGTACTTAATTATCGCAGTGAAATCAATAACAACACTTAAAAGTGAATACTTGTGTTTGGATTGTGCCCAGTGCATATGAGAGGAAATATATTGTCCTTGTTCCCGGGGTGCCCTCCAGATGTGGGATTCCCACTCCCATCAGCTCCATCCAACATTGCTAATGCTTAGGATAGATGAGAGCTACAGTCCAATATAATCTAGAAAACTATAAGTTTCTCAAGGAGAGTAATATAGATCGTCGTTTAGTCGTTTAGTCGTGTCCGACTCTTCGTGACCCCATGGACCAGAGCACGCCAGGCCCTCCTCTCTTCTACTGCCTCCCGGAGTTGTGTCAGATTCATGTTGGTTGCTTCGCAGACACTGTCCAGCCATCACATCCTCGGTCGTCCCCTTCTCCTCTTGCCATCACACTTTCCCAACATCAGGGTCTTTTCCAGGGAGTCTTTTCTTCTCATTAGGTGGCGAAAGTACTGGAGCCTCAGCTTCAGGATCTGTCCTTCCAGTGAGCACTCAGGGTTGATTTCCTTCAGAATGGATAGGTTTGTTCTCCTTGCCCTCCAGGGGATTCTCAAGAGCCTCCTCCAGCACCACAATTCAAAGGCATCAATTCTTCGGCGGTCGGCTTTCTTTATGGTCCAGCTCTCACTTCCATACATCACTACTGGAAAAACCATAGCTTTGACTATTCGGACTTTTGTTGGCAAGGTGATGTCTTTGCTTTTTAAGATGCTGTCAAGATTTGTCATCGCTTTCCTCCCAAGAAGCAGGCGTCTTTTAATTTCGTGGCTGCTGTCTCCATCTGCAGTGATCATGGAGCCCAGGAAAATAAAATCTGTCACTGCCTCCATATCTTCCCCTTCTATTTCCCAGGAGGTGATGGGACCAGTGGCCATGATCTTAGTTTTTTTGATGTTGAGTTTCAGACC